AAAAAAAAAACAAAACAAAACAAAAAAAACCTCGAAGCAGCCTAAGATCGGGTTCTCATCAAGATGCATTCCAGGGAGATGGCTTCCTTGCAGATTGCCACTTGGAGCAGTCTCTAGCCATGGTCCTTAAGATGTTCAGTGTGTGTCCATGAGTACCAGTCTTACTCCATTTAAAGTTGGTGATCCTGTGAGTGCTAAGTGCACCCTCTATAAACACGGTAATTCATTGCTTTTTTTTCATCATAATAGCATCTACTTGTTAAGAAAGCTGCCACTGATGGGAGTTGTAGGCTCAGCCATACTCACTTTTGGTTTAGTGAGCTACTTACATATATGAAGCAGCTGATGAACTCAGCAAAAATGGAAAACATTAATCTACCGCTCCTCAGCCTTCCTCATAGTCCATTTTCATTCTCATATAAATCATTTGTTATGCTCATCAATCAGTTGAGGGAACACTTAGTACTGGGATGCCTCCACTGAGGAGCTCAGAACATAATGGTGGCAACTGCTGGTGTCTACTTTTTGCACATACTCCTGCTGTGTTTTATTAGGCTTCCCAAGTACATGAGATTTACTGACAGCTGTTCAGTATTCCAGTTCTAAAATGCTAAGCAGTTTTTACTCTGGAGGTAGTTGGCTTGAAAATTATGGTGAGAGTTGGTTCACTCTGAACCCAAACCAATTTGCTCTGCTGTTTGCTGAACTAAATTGACCCTCAGTTTCAGTATTCATGAGCCAACAAAACTATGGCTCTTACATTAATTTTGGTTGTTTGGTTTGAGACACCAGGTACCTAATTTTTCAGACTACTTACTGCTCTATAGAATACTGCTTGTATATAAAGTAGTTTCTCCACTGACTACTTTTTCAGCTCTAAATGCTCAGCATTTGTGTACTTTGGGTCTTATCCAAAGACATACCTCAAGGAAATGTGGTTCATGTCCTTGGTGACTGCCAGTGAAAAAAATGATGTAGAGGCAAAATCCAGATTGAAAAATGAGGCGACTAAGTTAGTAGTAGCCTAAGATATGAAAAGCTATCCAGAGGACCTCTATTCAGACTGCCATAGAATTTGGTGACTAAATTCACGTGATGTCTACTGTTGGGACAGTCGATTAAATTTCTGAGGATTCTAAGCATGGGCTTCTGCACATGCATTGAAGCAGTCCAGATAGACGGGTGTGACTTCACTTTCAAGAATGCAGATTTCATTTACAATTGCAGAACTTCTGAAGAATCAGGTACTCGGTCTCAAGCTGATCACCTGTAAAGAAGGTACCTGCAACTTAATAACTGCTCCTGAAATTTCTGGGCTAAGGGAAATTTTTGGTAGAGCAAGTGTTAAAATCTCATTCTCACTGGCTTCCATCTGGTGTGCTACACTTCCTGTAGTTTCCCTGGCTTATTTGCTACTTGCACAACACTTTCCACAGCAAAGGAGTCATTAATCATTGTCTTCATTATTAATGCTCAGTCACTGTCTTTCCTCATACCCAATCCCAACCATACTTGAATGAAACAGAAATCCCATAAAGGAGAAAATGTATGCAACTTTGATTAGACTATACATATATAATGCCCAAGGAGCAGAATTCAGACTGCACTGGCATCTGTGCTCAGTTAGCAAATATATCTTTATGGTTCACTTTCTTAATGGTAGAGTACACCTGAACTTGGTGCATGGTACCTGACTTAGGATAATGTTTGGTTTCACTGAAACTATCTGGCATAATACTTGCTGCTGGTCTGCCTGGAGATTGTAGATTTGCCTAACTTTTTTTTTACCTGAATTAGATAACCATTTTAACT